TGCTGCTGCTCAAAGCCAGCAGCAGCAGCAGGAGCAACAGCAACAGCAGCAGCAGCAGCAGCAGCAGCAGGAGGAAGCTGTGTATGAGTTGTTACTCGCAGCAGCTGATCATGTCCCCCTGCTGGCTGTGTGGTTTCATCGGGAGCAGCTGCAGCAGAAGACAGGCCGCTCTCTCTCTGCTGCTGCGCTGCTGCGCTGCTGCTGCTTCGGTTTCCCTGACCTCCGCACGGACTTCAGGCAGCAGCAAGCAGCTGCCCCCAGGTGCCTCCTCTACCCCAACCGTTCACCAGAGGGTGCTGCTGCTGGCCTCGAAGCAGCAGCAGCAGCAGCACGTCTCATGCTCGCTGCAGCCACTGCAGCAACCGCTGCGCCAGGCGCTGCATACGCCAGCAGCAGCAGCAGCAGCAGCAGCAGCAGCAGCCGAGAGTTTATTGCTCTTTTGCCAAACGCAGAAGAGAGAAGGGCCTTCTTGTACGGCATGCTGCTGTCTCCGCTGCGGTGGCAGTTTGTTGCTGCTGAGGGGTTGCTGCTGCAGCTGCCTGCTGCAGCGCTGCCCCTCACCCCCAGGGAGCGTCTCGTTGCTGCCTTTGCGGTGAAGTCTGTATGGAGAGAAGAAGAGCTGCTGCCGCTGCTGCGCCCCTGCTACTTCGCCGCCGGACACAACCAGGTACGGTACTAGCAGCAACAACAACAGCAGCAGCAGCAGCAGCTGCTGCTGCTGCTGCTGCTGCTGCTGTTGCTTCTCTTACTACCCTTCAAGGGATCGTACCCTTCATCTGAGCGCTTAGGTCAGCTGCTCACCTGCCCTAGGTGCTGCGTGTTCACATCTATGCCTGACATTGCCACTCCTGCCCCTTCTCCTGCTGCTGCTGCTGTTGCTGCTGCTGCTGCTGCTGCTGCTGCTGGTTCAGGACTTAGCAGTGAAGCTGGGGGCTCCGCCGGCCGGGTACTGCTTCGTGTTTCAGACGGTCTTGTCTGCGGCGACGCAGGAGAAGGTCACCTCCTTCAAGTCCAGGAACGTCCCTCTCCCCTTCTGGGAGCTCGAGTGATATATCAGCTCAGCAGCAGCAGCAGCAGCAGCAGCAGCAGCAGCAAGAGCAGCAGCAGCTGCAGCAGGAACAACAGGGAGGCAGCTGCTATGCCCAGCTCGGCGGGGCGTTTGCTGCATGCGTCCCCTGGCTTGAAGTAACAGTTT